GGTCAGAAACTCAAAGCAGGTCATCTCTCACATGAATTCGTAACTGATTCTTTCCTTCCAATGCTTCTGACTCTTAAACCGTACTTTGACGTCTCTGTTTTGGAGGTACAGATATGTCACCATCTAATTAACAATTGAAGAATACAGCAAATCTGTTCTGCAGATGGCTCAGATGTTGCAGAATGACGAATGGGAAAGATCTAATCTACTTGAATGGATCCAGTCTTGCTAATGAATGAATTTGACTACCCTTCTTAGCGTAGTAATTTTATTCATTAATTACATTCTGTTTTCATTATTTATTCCTTATGTTGTATTATTGTATTATACTTAATTTTTGTATCAGTAAATCGCGTGACTGCGTAACTGTTTGTTTATCCTCTCAGTACATCCTACTTTCGCAAACGCTGTCGGTAAAATTTCTGATTGATTTACAGCAGTGTTGTTAAATGTAACTCTTCTGACATTGGCTGATTCTTTAAATTCCTTCGAAAGGTCGACTTTTGTCGATTCTGGTCGACGTATTAAATACAGTTTTCGGAAAATTATTGACATCTGTACACCGTTACGTTTGTGTAGCCAGCCATTATGGCTGCAGATCGTCTGAATCTATAATCGAAATCAAGTTGCAACTGTTGTTTACCTTGTCGCTATGTATTCTATATTAAAAGAAAACTTTTTTGGACTTTGTTGCTCACGGCATTAACATTCTTTGGATTATTGCATCTCATGACTTTATTTTTAGACCCTAGTAGATCTAAGTCAAAGTCTTTTGATTCCATTGGCCATTTTGTGCATATTGTTTTCGATCATCTTGGTAAGTTAGAATTTTTTGAACAAAAAGCTATTTTTCTTCTAGTGTGATATTTCTGTTATTGAATTTTCAGTTCCTAAGGATCGAACTTGGACGTCTGAAGGGTCTAAGCCCTGATCAATTTGGCTCTTTTAGCGAGGTATGCTTTTATTTTGAGGAGTTTAGCGAAGGGTACGAACTCTGTTATTTCTAGTGCTGGTACAACATTCTGCAGCTGGGTTGCTTTGCGCTCATGGCACTGTTAATCATGCGACTGAAGCTATTTTTTACTCCGCACCTTTGCATCATTGTCTCACTGTTGGCAAATAAAACGGTACGTTGACTGTGGTAAGAATGCAAAGTCACATAAAGTAGTAATTAACATGATATACCAAGTCATGATTTTCGACGTGGAGATTCGACTCTCTGATGCATTCTACAAAGCCTAAACTTTCTAGCCTAACTCTATCCAACCTTAGCTGAGGCTGAAGTCTACGCCAGAATCTTTGGCTAGATTCTAGAAGTCTGAACTTAGGCCTTGATTCTTAAGAGGTCGAGCTTAACCAATATCTCAACCGAATGAGTCGAAAACTAAATATCAGTGCAGTGCGGAAAACAAGCATGAGGTTCAGATGCCTGAGCGTAACCCGAGGACAGGTCTAAATTTGAGTAACTCTTTCTGCAGTTGAACACAGTGTAAGCCTATACTTCAGCGTAGCCCTAAGTATATGTGGTACATTAATGTTTTAGCTGAGCATAAGAATGAGAACCTCAGTAGCATCCGGTGTAATATTCGCGATGCAGCGCAGATGAAAAAGCATCAAGTGAACAGAAGCTTGGCTGGGTGTTTTAAAAAGTTGTGCAGATGGGCAACAACTTGCAACTCACAACCTGTTGCTACGTGTATCTAAAATGCACAGGTCAGTAGCATTGTTAATTTCAGAAATCGATCCATATCATCATGAAAATTAAAGGTGGAATTGCTTCAGAAGGTTACTGCATTTCTGAAAATTTAAAGAAATATAAGTACTGAGACGGTCTGTCACATTTGCCTGAATCTGTTTTGTGTCGTTTTCCACCAAAGGAAAGGCACCCTCACTTATTTCTTAAGCTGTGGAACAGTTTCGCTCATGCACTTTCCGCTGAGAATGGTAATATCAATAATTCAGGACAATAATAACAGATTTTATTTTTCGCTGTTCGCTTCATGCTGCTTTTAGCTACTTGTCAGGCGAGTTCCCACTTAATTCCTACTTCCACTATTTCAAAGTGGTAGGAGGGTGCAATAGGTTTTCAAGGCGAACTGCCCTAGGTGTATATTTCACCACCTCATTGATGCTAATTGTGTTGAAGTTCTGTTTAAGTAGGTCACGGCTCCATGGTATTTGTCCACTTGCAGTGCAATTTGCATCTCCAGTCACTGTCTCAGCTAGATCCACCAGATGCTCATGTGGTGGGGATGGAAGGGGAGGTGTGCAATGCGGGGTGAAATCTTATGTTGGGGGAGCCATTCGTTAAAGAGCATACTTTATCATTAGAACAACTTATGATTCTTATAGAGTACCCCTGAAACATCGTTTATGATGTGTGCGATGGAGCTCTACCGGGTAAAATGGTGCGAGATGCATGTGACACTGTGGGTTTTCAAATACCGTAGAGTTATGGCCTGTTTAAATAGGCCCAACCTAGGAAATTGGGGAAAGGGGGTGGAAGAATACGCCATGAAATCTTGTTTTGGAATAATCGTTCGTTATTTGATTTATTCGGGCGTGCGAACGATTAACATAGGTTCTTCCGTGATAGAATAACGTTCTCTTCTTGACTTTTACAGGTTCAAGCATTCGAACTGTTTTTCGGTGACTGTCAAAATAGGTCAAGAGGCCAACAGTGTTTATGTGTGACTTTTGGATTTTTAATTAACTGAAGGGACACAGTTTATTTATTCTTTACATATGTTTTTATTTGTAACTGGATCTGTTTTACTTTGTAGCTTCTTCGTGCTGCCGTCAGTTTAAACGTGAGGCAGCGTTACATTTATTCGTTTTGTGTGTTAGTCCTTTCGCTGATGGCCATTAAAGGTCGGCAGAACCTTCAGAATCAGTGGAGCATTTCAGGCGAATATTCGAACTTTCCGCTGGAGCGACTCTTCCAATGGATCGTGATGAATACAAAAGCTGGTAGGGTCAACGTGCAAAGAAAACGTTTAGAAATATTTCAAGTTTTACAGATGATGTGTTTGCCGGTAGCATGCCTTTAATGGCGAACCTGAAGCTGTCAACCGAAAGACCGATCGTTATCCATCCTCATTACGAAGATGCGGAGCTGAGGTAAGTGCGTGTTTAAATTACGGATTCGGTCTAGTGTTGATGATGGGATGATGAACGTTAAATTTTGTTAAACGTTGCTGCTTAAACGAGATCACCGGAGAGTAATGGTTTCAGCGCAGACGAAAAGATTAAAGATCATGCAAACGAAGCAACAGTAAATAAGATTAATGATAAAACGGAAAGAACTCCAGAGAAACTTTTGAAAAGCTGGTTCAGTTGACTTACCCTACGACCGCCATATAAAGCAAAAAAGAAATTTAAATGTTCTTATCTTTGCGACTGCAACAGAATCGTCTTGACGCCTGGTCAGCCAAATGGAGCATTCAGAGGATGCGACTTGCGATGAAAGCATTGATCTTACACCGAACTTATAACCTACTACAGCGTTTTGGGATTAGGTGGCATGAGTGTTTAATGGCGGTTCCGCGAGTCACTGAGCAGACTTTGCACCACTGTTCAACCAACTCCGCCAGTGGATGTAGGCGTTCGGAGATTTATTGGGAGGAAGAGAGGGGCAGCGAAGCAACAGTCAGCTAAAACCAGTATTCGTAAAATAAGGACTGAGCAAGCAAACGATGTGCCGATCAAGGGAAAGAAAGTAAAAAAGACAAAATATATGGAAGTTACATTAATTCTGGGCTGATCACAATGTCAGGTTATTGTATCGTTTCGGTTTTTCTTGGGCCGTTAGCGTTATATTCTGTCCTTTTCCAGTCGCATTGCAGCTCGTGGAGGTCCTTTCTTTCTCCCAGTAAGAAATATTTGCATATCGCATGGATTAGAATATCTTCAATACCTTCAATGTTGGCAATATGAGGGCAGATCAAGGAAGAAGCTACAGTTACCCTCTGAGCTTCTTTCGTAATTCTACTCTATTGTTAATGCTGAATGTTCTATGAAAGGGACAGCGACAAATGCCCTTCTCCGTTCAGATGGACGGTGAAATGATACAGCAGTTTTAGGAGCATTATTGTGACAGATGTTCAAGGTCTCGGTGACTAAAATAGGTCGAAGGACGTTTTTACTTCCTTATGTCATCCATCAAGTATTGTCAAAGTCTACCACCTCCCTGAATTAGTTGAGACTGTCGATAATACGAAGGCTGTCGACTGGTTTTGTTGTAAATTAACCAGTGGCGATGCATACAGAAGCGGTTCTTGCAATCCACAGTGGAGCAGACATATCCTATATTTCGAAATTCCTAAAAGCTGGAAATAGAGCAAGAGCGGATGCCATTCACTATTTTCATAGAAATTCTGCGCCTGTTTTGAAAATAAGGTGTTTATTTGCCGACCAGCTCAAAATATAGCGAAAGCATTACACTGAACTTCTGAAAATATTGATAACATTTGATTATTCCGTTTTGATACTTAACGGATACTATTGTTTAGTCTCGATAACTACGCTCTTCCGTCTCAATTGGTTCTCACCACAAGTTTCATATCTCTTTCTTAGCCCACCGTTCCATCCGAACCGATATTCCAATTTTGCGCTTACAGCCCATAGAGTTACCAATCTGTCTGAAAAGTCCACCTGTCGTACGTTTGTCGTGCGACGTGAGTACCTGTCCATTGTCGTTTTCTCATTTATGAAACCCATGCAATTTTTTTTTCATCTCAGTATTTCATATTTTGCAGCTTGGCCTTGATAAAAATTCCTAGCATCGTTCTTTCCATAGCGCACGGGAACTCTACTAATAGTCGTTCATCCTTTTCGTTAAGGCCCAGGCCTCGCTACAATATAAAGCAATTGACAATACCGTGCCTTCATACATTGCAGTTCTAACCACAGTTGATAACTTTCTGCTTTCAAGATTTTCGGCGTTTCTTTTGTATGTTTTCAATGGTTCACGAAGCATAATGGCCATCTCTGGGCTGTAGGAGTGGTCTGGCCTGGCACGATAAGCTATCCCAAATAAACTAGTGACTAATAACTAATAACTAGTGACTTCTGTTTGGTAATCACTGATTGCTGATCACTGTAACTGGTTCCGCGAATTCGTTTCTTATTATCTTCGTCGTCGTTCTAATTATCCAGAGTTCTACTTGCTTGATGTTTAACTGTAGCTCGCATAGCATGGCCTCAACTTATTTTGTCTGCATCGCCGACGGCACATGGCCGTTAATTTCATCATTCTTCGTTTTTTATCACAGAGGTAATTGTACCCTTGAGTCTGACCTGCAGCACAATTCGTATTTGTTTGTTGACAAGCGTCTAATAATTAAGATTCTCCTATGAAATTTTGGTTTGCTGCATAATGCAATAAATGACGTTAAAAATTTGTCTATTTTTTAAACTGATATCATCTGCCCTATAATCTTCAACCTTTAGCTGTCAGTTGTTTGTTTCGTCCCTTTGGCCGGGTCATTTCTAGATTTATTTTGACAGAACACTACTTCGCACCTACAGTTTGTATGGTTTTAGGGATCGAGTGATGAAGGTGTATTCGGTGTTTAGTCGAAAGCCATTGAATGAAGTCTACCGACTTCTAAAAGATCTCAAGGTGAATTACGTCATATTCGAATCTGTGTGGTGTAAGAAGAGTGCAAGGTAAGACAATGGGCGGTGACTGGGGTGAACCTATTGGTGATCAACAACATGCTGACATCTTGTCTTTCAGGCCGGGCTGCACGATGCCGGAATTGTTTGACCTTCACGATGTGAGAAACGCTGGTGGGATACCGTCATGTGATTTACTGATGAGCGACAACACCGATCCGTTTAAACTAGTTTATGAAACCGACGTTTATAGGGTTTTTAAAATCGCCTAAATTATTGTTCCTTGTTTCTTTATCGCGCCTGTGATACAAGTGAATCACGAGATACAGATCTGTTTTTTGTTTCATTTTTTGTGAGTTGGTTGGCAGATGAAGTAGAGTAGAATTGTAAAAAATTAACTTAGCCCTTCGTTTTTTGAGTTTTGTAATTTGTGGCTGTGTCAGTCATCAGTCATTTTGGAATTTTTTTGTTGAAGTTGAAGAAATGCACTCTCCTTCAACGGATGGCTTATTGGTATTTCCAAATCTTGAACAAACGTATCAGAAACATTTTTATTTTTCGACTTTACATTAAAAACGTTTGTTTTTCATCTTGTCTATTGTCACATAACTGATTATTTTGTCACGTGTTATTTAGGCGCAGGCCAGTGGCAGCGCTCGGTACTGCCATTTACCCTAACGGTCTTTATTTTCTGCTTGCTATGACGGCTACAGGAGATTGTGATAGATTATGCGTACGAACAAATCAGAAATTCATAATTTCCTTGCTTTGTCTATTCATTTCTGGACTCTCTAATTTCCGCAGCTTTTCTATCCCCTTCCTAATATCTACTAATATCATAAAAACATTGAAAATAGCTAGAGAATGACAAAATTTCAATATATAAGCTTTATTATTCTGGCTGAGATATATTATGCACATTGATCGACTATGATTATCATAGACATTAATAGTTAAAAAACAATAGACACTGAAATGCACATTAAGAATGATGGCCACGTAGCACAATACCTTTGAAACAGACGAAGCTGTGCGTCATCGTAAAGTTGAGTGTCAAAGTGTAAGCAGGTGAAGCACTCGCTTCTGATCAATCAAGTCCCAGACTTCCGTTTCAGAGCTAAGAAGAGGTTCTTAAACATACAGTAATGATTTAGTAGACTATACGGTTATTACACAGCAGCAGTAAACGAAACGAAAATCAATCAAGTGGCGGTGCCGTTGAGGGAATTCACACATCCTAGAAGTCCACGAGGTTTCTGTATAACAGATATATGTGAAATAGGGCAAGAAAATATTTACACCAACATGTTAGTTAAACTGGCCAAATGAATGTATAGAAAAATCGTAAGGCACTAAGTGACGCCATTACGTATTATACGTATAGCAGATTTAACAAACAAGACAGTAGAGGGTGCGTAAGCTTTGTACACTTAGTAGATAACCGATTCCGCAAAGGTCGGCATTGTCTGTTGTTACGGTAAGCTGAGTTTAGGAGATAGGCGTGGGCGGTGGAGTAACCACATTTCCGGCTAGCTGCTCGGCATCAGACTTGGCAGAGTCGATCTCACAGCCGGTACCTGACTTCACGATGCCGTTCACGGCTGGGTTTGGTTGAGGAGGTTTGCCTGAAAGTCAGCGTTTCATGAATCATCCGGCAATCAGATGCTGGCAATTATTGGAATTCATTGAAAAAAAATGTGTACTTATGTATTTGTAGCCGCATCGCTGGTGTGCTGCTGAATAACGTGGACTGTTGGCATGAATATTCGGCGCCATGCAACACTGACCAAGCTTTCTCGGACTGCCGGTGTGCAGGTTTCTGGCGGCTGCCTGGGAAAATACATTGTGGTCAGTAAGAACCGTAGCGGCGACGGACAAAATGTTGGGTGTGAGACCGTCCGGACAAAGGCTAACTATCGTATTCTTTATTACTTAGCTATTTTTTAAGCTTGTTACAATTTTACAAGTTTACTATAATTTTATATTGCAAGTCGGTTAAGCGATTGGTATGAAAAATTAAGGCCTTTGGCATTCTCGACATTTATTCTGTCTAGTTCAGCCTGCTGCCAGATTCCCATGCAGCTGCATAACGATTAGCTAGTTACAGAAAGTGTACAGAACTTCTAAAGAAGTAGAGCAGAGCCAGATGTTAGTACCTATTGAGGTAAGTGTTTCCAGAACTGTTGGACGGGATGGGGGATACTGAAGGTAACAGAGGGCTCGGTCGATTAAGACAGTAGAATCGAATTCCGCGTCCAGTGGCTTTCAAGCTTTCTCTGGTGAATAGCTGAGTGCCCATATGTGGGAAACTATGTGCTGCAGTTTTTGATCTGTACGCAAAGTTTGTTGAGTTATGTCACCAGTGCCGCACCGTAAAACAAACGCGAGGAAGTGGCTGAAAATACTACCCGTCCCAAAACTGAGACAACCCAACGGTTAGAAATTTCTTTTTCGTTATTTGAAGCTCCGAAAATCATATATTATAGAGAAGCAGGAAAAAAAGAGCGACTAATGGACGATAATTCAACCGATTATTTTCTTGATGATTAAGTTCAACAAGACATAAACAGGCTAATATGAGAATAGATTAAGAAAAAGACAGTTAGAAGCCTGGAATAAATATTTTAAGCGAGTGAAGACTTTGGGACCCACAGCGGTGTTCCTTTTTCAGCACAAATCAGTAATATACTGTATAGTGTAGTAGTAGATCAGATCGTACGAAACAGCGGTGAACGGCACTGCGTGACTGGCCCCTTGGTACGCAAAACTGCAGCGAAAGCAGGCCTCCAGTTGAAGCCTACAAACACAAAAGTGATGACGAATCCAGAACTTCTGTAAAATCAGAAGTGTCCCATGGAAACAGTACTATCGACGAGCACCATACAGTTAAAAAATCTTGGCGCCATCATCTCGGTGGAAGAGAACCGTGAACAGGACCTCAACAGAACGATGGCGCTGGCGTTATTCACGAATGTTTGGATTCGAAGAGGAATAGCAGTCGCCACCAAGACCTGACTGTTGCGTTGTTGACCAGTTCTGCTTTGCGGACTGGAAACGGTTGCGTTCAGAAGAGCACGGAAACGTCGACCAGAGAGTTTACAACGCTGGCTGCGACAGCTGCTGTAAATCAAGTGGTTCGACTAGTAACGATCGAATCTTGGCACTAGCCGACATCATAACTATCGAAGGTACAGACTGACGAACGGCAGGCGTGTTTCTATCATCTGTGACGAGGCGAAGAAGCCTCATTGGCTCGTCAACTGCTTACATGGGAATCGTTGCTACGGTGGCTAGCTCATCACATGGCACAGGAAATAAAACAGATCTGTTGTCGATGTGGAATTTTTCCTTCGTCGAAGCAGTTGGCAGCTCTTAATACAAAAGGAGCTAGAAATGTCACAATTCTTAAGCAACCTCTTTGCTTATAAGGATGATTATGACAAATATAAACACAAACACACTTATTAAATCCATCTGTCTTTTTAACCAATTTTCCTGATAAACAAATGTTTTTCGTTGTCAATACCGGTAACATCGTCAGGAATGCATGAAACAGAAGGCAAGTCAACGTTATGGCACAATAACCAATTTGTAATATTAGCTTAATTATGAGTACAGCTGCGTGTCGTTCGGGTCAGGCAATCAAATGCTGCGTAGCAAATTTCCGATGCTGACTGTACCCCAGCTTTCCCTTATGGTCATAGTTTCTGATGAAAAATTTTCAGAGAAGCAACCCAATTGAAATGCTCAACGTAGTTCATCAGGTATGCTGTAACGATCGCGATAAAATTGCAGATGCAGCTGACGACTCAGCATATGTCCGTAATGGTGATGCCAAGCATGCGAGTATATTACCCTTTGCTGTTATTGACAAACATAGCATAAGTGATATGAGTGTTTCCGTTATTAACAGGGCGACATGACTGAGAACCAGCTCAATGAATGAATGATCATCACCCGTAGCATAAAGGAAAGCTTGGGTACAGTGTGTGATCTGCAGCAATACGATCGATTTCGCCACTTTAGTGGCATTCTGTTGTCCCGCAGTATTAAGATATTAATAACTTTTTATGTCATAAAGTTTACCTGACATCTCTATCATTCCGTTTTGATCATGTTGGCGGTGTTGGTAGCGAAACGGGTCTACTGTAATTAAAATTTATTATCTCCATCTTAGCTTGGGATACCGTGTGCCCAGAAAATACAAATACAGCTTGATCTATTCTGAATCCAGAATCGAAATATGAGCAGTAATTGATTTCGTAGAATTGTTCTATTATGAATTTTGACATTTGCAGTTGAATTTAAAATACAAATTTCAATCGAAAACTTTTTAGAGAAACTTCAACGTGATAAAGAAATCACCACATGAAGAGCTTCATGAAACGCCATATATCTGAAACATCTGCCCGGGGCCGAGTCGTGAATAAAAGGAAATAGCCAAGGTACGATATCGTATGTCGTGAGTAGGACGATAAAATGTGTTTCCCAGAGCAACTACATGGAAAAAAACTTTTCATGAACCCCAAACCGGTAGGCTAGCAAAGTAATAATAATGACAACCAGGAAACATCACATCTTATGTTGTTCAATCTTCACTGAAAAATAAGATATCCTAAATTTCATGCATCTTAATTGGCCGTTTAAGAATTCAGCCACTACGTAGAAGTGCATACATCTGCTGTGAACCCTGAAACCGCGAGATAACGAATAACCCTCTGATGGAACATCTCCATATGCATAAAGTATGGGCTGTCATACCTAGTAGCTTAACTGCAAAGCATGGCGAAATTTTTCCAATTAAATATACTTTCTGACTAGGAGCTATCGATTTTTGGTATTCGCCTGAATAAATGACACTAGAAAAATTAATGAAATAATACCTCTTCACTCTATATGATGGTAGCTCAATCCGCGAATAGCGTAGTCAATAGTAAACCCTTTCAACAGAGGATATTATGGTTCTCTATATGCACAAGAAGCAACTTAAAATTGTGGGTAACAATTCGATGAGTAGGATTCTAGAGAGGGCAACTGGTGGCGAATCGGAGTGAATTACCTACCCCTGACTCACCTTCTCCCACTTACTCCGCGAAGCAATAGGAAAATTGACAGAAAACAATGACAATGTACACAACTGAATTGTTTTAAGTAACTACGTGGGATGAAATCTTCATTTCTTAAATGACTAATCAAATGTGCTTTCCGAATTGGTAAGTTTAATAACAAGTGAAGTAAAAGAGTGGACAAACGAAACAAGTTGAACATGTTGCTGGTGACAGGAACAGAGCTTTGCATTGGTAAGAGTTTTGCTGCTGTCGCTTAAGCAAAGGTCTTGCGGCAAACGAAAACGACCGAGGCTGATGTGGAGATGAGGACAGAGATTATGTGACAGAGGACGAATGTGGAGGCATTGGGGCTCAACAGGCGGCGGCGGCGGAGGCGGCGGTGTCACACAGCCTGTTTTATTGTTGTTGTGCTTTCCAGCTGAACATACAATAGACAGACAAGGTTACGTACCGTTAGTAACGAGGACAGACCACATGACGTTCGATGACGAATGTCGACCACATCTACTGAGCGTGTTATTGCCGCTCTCTGGCGCTCCTTCCTCTACAGTGAAACGTTGTAAGATTAAAGAGAAAACATAGTTAAGCGTTAGTCACGTGCCACACTGAACGTTAAAGTGTAGAAAATAGTAACAGGATAAATACCAACACTTAC